ACTTTGACCGTCCAATTTCGATTTACAAGCTCGCGAAACTGTGCAACCTCAGAAGAATGCTGGTGAGAACACTCACCTTTTTCCATCAAATATTGAATAGCTGCCTGCGAGTCCAACTGCACTCGTACCTGGTGATATCCAAACTCCCAAGCAAAATGTAATCCTTGTACAACAGCTCTCATTTCAACCCCAGTGATCGAGCAAAAATCCAAGTTCATTGAGTACGCTGCTAAGCAGCGCCCATCGGAATCACGGAACAACCCTCCTGCAGCTGCTCATCTAGTCTCAGGAATAACTGATCCGTCAGCATTTAGTGCGACCCACGCGGGTGACGGAGGTGGCCAAGAGATATATATATCAACCATCATTTTGGTTGGTAGACTGGTATGTGTGGATTGGTCAAGTATCAAAGCCTCTTCAATAGACTCAACCCTATGTCGGATACGCTGGGCAAAGGACTCAGGGGTGATGCGGATATCAGTAAAAATAACCTCATTTCTGGCCTTTCAGAGAAACCAACATGCAATGTAAAGCTTCACTAATATTGTTTCCTTATCTTCCTTCCATTTTTTCCTTATCTTACGAGCAACAACTTATACGTCTATGTGTGTAATTTTGTGTATCAATTTTTGAAAGCCTGAGCATCTTTTCATTCAAGCTTATGTTTAATTTACTATCGTCAATGAGTCGACCTATTTGTGCAAAAAAAAAATCATAAAATCAAATATGACTCTTTTATGAAGTGATATGCACTACAAACAAATAGGGCCGTAGTCACAGACTTAGTCACGGACCGTAGTGTTAAAAATCCGTGACTAACTTTTTTAGTCACGGATTTAGTCACGGACGGAATCCGTGACTAAACGGGCGTGACTAACTTTAGTCACGGACTGTTGACCGTGACTACGTTTAGTCACGTACTAGTCACGGCCCTAATCTGTGACTAATTCATTACCGGAGTTGCTATTCCGGTACGTTTGTAACTTAAACTTTATTTATTTTTTTAAAATCCGTCAAATTAGTCCGTGACTAAACTTTATTTTTTTAAAAAAATCCTTCAAATTAGCCATGGACCCGTCCGTGACTAATTTTCAAAATTTCATTTTCAAAATTTCAAAATTTCAAATTTTAAAATCCGTCAAATTAGTCACGGACCCATCCATGACTAATATTTTTAATTTTAAAAAAATATTTTTTATTTAATTTTAACAAAAGTTAAAAACAAAATGTTAACAGTTTGTTTATTATAAAAACAGAATAGCTAAAATAATACTTTCTATATTTGTATAAATACTTTAATTAAGTAGAGTTATTATTTCGAAAAACAGTTTATTAAACATTATTAATTTCGCAAATTAAATTTATTAGACAGTTTATATTTATATATATTTCAAAAAACAGTTTATTAAACATTATTAATTTCGCAAATTAATTTTTTTAAACAGTTTATATTTATTTATATAAAGTTTTTAGATTATTACAAAAAGATTATTAAATAATAATATTTTGGTTTTGTAGTGAACAAGTTAAACTTTTTTGCAAATTTAACATGAGGGGGATGATTTTTTGTAAATGTTTAATTTTGGAATTTATTTGAGACATATTAAACATATAAATCATGCATATTGAACATATATTAAACTAAATATTTAAAACGAAATTATCATGCATGCAAAACTACAAATCATGCATATAATAAATTGAACATATAAACTAAATTTAAAACTAATTTCATGCAACTAAACATATAAACTAAACAAATTTCATGCAATTAAACATATAAACTAATTTAACAATAATTGAACATATTTAAAACTAAATTGAACAAAACTAAAAGCATGCATATAATAAATTGAACATATAAACGAACTAAATATTTAAGACGAAATTAAACAAAACTAAACAATCATGCATATAAAAAATTGAACATTTCAAAAATTATATAAAACTAAAAAACATGTATATTATCATGCATTTGAGTATATTTCAACAAAAGAACATGCACTTTAATAATGCGAACATAATAATAAAAACATGCATTTTTGGAATAAAAATCAAATACTAAAAATAAGAAGGAAAAATAATTAAAATTTAGAACACATAACCTTGATGAAAAAGGTAAGAGCGACGGCGGTGGCTAACGGAGAGCGGCGGTGGAAAGCTAAAGCGCCGGCGGTGGCTAACGGAGAGTGGCGACGGATGGCGGAGAGCGGCGGTGGACGTCCGAGGGGGATGGCGGACAGCAGGAGAAGAAGCTAAGGGAGAAAGAGAGTATAATTAGGGTTGGGAGAGTGTTGGGAATGAAAAAATGTTAAGTGTTACTTTGACCGGTTAGTCACAGACGGATCTGTGACTAATCCGTGACTAAATTCAATTTTTTTAATTTAGTCACGGATTAGTCACGGATCCGTCCCTGACTAACCTTTTTTTAGCCGTTTGTCAGTTCCTCGGGCAGGCCGACGGACAGGGGAATAAATTCGATTTGTCACGGTCCGATCTGTGACAAATCCGTAACTTTTTAACGTATAAATAAGTGTTGTCCGGCCCAATATTTGTGTGAAAAAAATGGCTAATCGAGAACCAATTGACTTGGAAATGATGTGTAGAGGTATGCAACGAATTAAGCAAGTTACACAGCTTATGGAGCCGAAAAGTTTTGAAGCAGTGCAGAAAATCAAGGAGTTGGTGGCTAGACCACTTGAAAGCTTTGGCGACATTAAAGATGATGAATCAGACTCAATCAGCAAGTCAAGAGCAAAAAACTTGTGTCGGATGCTTTGTCGTGCACAAGAATGTACAAAGTATATGAAACCGATAAACGCAGAAGCTCAAAAGAAAATTAACGAGTTGTGGGCTAGGCCTCTTGAAAGCTTTGACGATGATGAATAAATCTGTGTTTGTTTGTTTTCTTATGATAAATTAATAATGTTAGTTAGTTGATTGTGATAAAAAAAATGTGTGTTTTGTACTTATGTTTTAAATTTAATAAATAAATTTGTGTTAGTTGTTTATTAAAATGTGAAATTATTATAATATTCAGATTATAAAAGTAAATTAATTTTATTTTTCAATTTTTGAATTTTTATAATTTTCGATTTTTGAATTATTTAAATTAATTTTCAAATTTTGAATTTATAATATGGAATATAAAAAACTTGTTGTTGTAGAATTAATATGCAGTAATTATTATTTCACAAATAATAATGATTATTTAACAAATAATAATGATGAAGAAAAAAAATCAAATATTCTTGGAGTAATATAATGACGAAGAAAATAGCACAAATATTCGAAGTAAAAAATTGAAATTACAACAACGCAATTAGTCGCTATAAGAATTGCTATATTCTACATATACAGCATCTTCTTCTGTACCAGAACCGTCTATCCATTCTTCTTCTTCCTAATATTGAGCGTCTTGTTGTGCTTCATACATTTGAGCAATTTCGTGCTCAGATGGAGGTGTTAGGAGCGGAAGGTGTGTTTCTTGCATGACTTCAACATGTCCGCCATTTGGATCACTTAAAGGATGTTATAGTTGACCGTCTCAACAATAGGTGGAGGTTGGAAAAATTGTTGCTAAAAAGCATCTAAATCAATATCCTTGTGTTGAGTTTGTGATACAATTTTGCTCGGATGGACAGTACATGCACACACCCAAGGATTCTGTGTCCGCCTGGTTGAAGGGTATTCTGCATAATAAATCTGGGCTGCTTGTTGAGCGAGTATAAAAGGCTCATTTTTCCTATGCGCAACGGAAAAAAACGCATGTCAATTTTTTCATACCAGAAGGCATTTGAAGTTCGATAATCTCATGCAAGAAACCAAAAAAATTGGTTTCCGAGTTATCATAACCGATGGTTGGGACACATAACCTGTTGTTCATTGTTGGTCGGTCATGTCCATAATCGACTGTGTGATAGGTGTAACCATTTATCACATATGACCGCCAAATTTTGACATTGGCACCAGGGACCCACGCTAATGATACTAACAGAGGGTCGACAATTCCACGACTATCGATCTGTAAATAAAAACATGATAACATTATGTAATTATTAAAAAAATATTACTTAATAATATATATATATATATATAATGTGTGTATATGTATACATGATACTTGTACCATGCTGCAAAATCAGAGTCCACCATTGCATCAATTTCATTATCAGAAAATGCTGATAAAGTAGCTCTAAATTCTCTGTTAAGTCAAACATGAAAATATTATAAATTAACTACCTTGTAGCTAGATATATTACAAATATAACTACCAATTTAACTTACGTATAAAATGGTAAGATTTCTGGACAATTCATTAGGATGTAAGTATGTGCAATTTTTAATTCTCCACCCACGAGGTAACGGTTAGTCGAAGCTCCTTTACCTCTACCTGGATAATTGAAAATGGAAACTACATTTTCATATATATCCTCGCCAATGTCATCTTTCCGGGCAGGTCTCTTTCTTCTAGTGATGACTTCACGCTCAAAATAAAAAGATGAGAACGTTGAGATTTCTTGTTGAATATATGCTTGACAAATTGAAGCCTCAACGTGTGCCTTGTTGGTCACTTTCTTTTTCAACTCTCCTAGAAATCTGCAATCTAAAATATAAGTTGTAAACAAACAAATGTTCTTATGAAATAAATATTCAAAGATAAATGAAATTGTGAATAACCTTTCAAATTTGTACATCCAACGATAGAAGACGGGCCCAGCACTCAAAGCCTCATACGGAAGATGTATTATAAGATGTTCCATTCCATCGAAAAATGATGGAGACATTATTTTTTCCAAATTACACATCGGAATGGGAACAGACTCTTCTAGTCTCCGGAGGGATGCTGCATCCAAAACGCTGGAACATATCGACTCAAACAACAAACTGATTTCAGTAATACAGGACCATACGTGTTCAGGAAGCATCTCTTTCAGTGCAATCAGCAGAAGTCTTTGCATGATTACATGAGCATCGTGAGTTTTCATGCTCGACGTCGTGGTAAGTTTGTTCATGTCCACGCACCTGGACAAGTTGGAGCAGTAGCCATCTGGAAACTATAGAGACACAAGTCACTCTAATATTAATGTCTTTTGTGCTTCTGTGACTTGGTAGACTGCTTTTGGAATTTCGTTTTTAGTTTGTTCTAGATCAACTGAAAGTTCAGGTCTATCACACAACATTGTCATATCTTTTCTAGATGCAAGACCGTCTTTAGTTTTCCCTTTGAAATCCATCACCGTGTTAAATATATTGTCAAAGAAGTTCTTCTCAGTGTGCATCACATCTAAATTGTGACAAATGAGAAGGTCTTTCCAATATGCCAACTCCCAAAAATATACTCATATTTGTCCACTTATGGGTATGACAATACCCATATGGCTCCTTCTTTGGCTCTTGCATAGCCGTAGGAATATGTCGAACCCGGTTAAAAATTTCTTTGCCAGTCGATCTCGCGGGTGGGGGGTCTCGTACCACTCTATCTCTAATGAAAGACTTTTTGTCCTTCCGATATCAGTGCTTTGGCGGGAGAAACTTGCGGTGACAATCAAAGTAACTTAGTTTTCCACTGAAAGTGAGCCAATTGGCACCTGATTTCTCCATGCATATCGGACATCCCATAAGATCGTGTGTGCTCCATCCCGAAAGCATATCATAGGCATGGAAGTCGCTAATGGTCCAAATGATGGCAACTTTCATGACAAACATTTGATCTGTTGAAACATCATAAGTTGGTGTCCCAATGGCCCATAGTTCTTCCATCTCCTCAATAAGGGGTTGAAGATAAATGTCTATCTTTTTCCCTGGATCCTTGGGTCCCGGACAAATTAAAGTCAAAAAGATGAAATGACTTTTCATGCACATGTCTTGAGGGAGATTGTAAGGAGTTAACATGACTGGCTAACATAAATAGTTCTTCTCAAACCTTCCAAAAGGAGCAAATCCGTATGAACACAATCCCAGTCGCACATTTCGTGGCTCCATTGCAAACTGAGGATGACAACAGCCAAAGTGTCTCCAAGCTTCACAGTCCAAAGGGTGAGACATCATACCCTCTTTGGTTTCGTGCTCGACATGCAATGTCGTGTGTTTCGTGTACATCATCTTCAGTCGTGGAGCTATTGGGAGGTAAAACAATTTAGATAATGCAGACCTATATCGTGGTTTATTTCATCTTTGAGGAACATGTTTGTATCCGTATCCACCACAGAACTTGCAGATCTCAAGTGCCTCATCATCCTTCCAAAACAACATACATCCTCGAGGGCACGCATCAATTTCAATACAAGGAAGCCCTAAGTTAGATATTAATTGCTTCATGTGGTAATATGAATCGGGGAGGTTATGATCATGCGGTAGCATTCCTCCTACTGACTGCGACACTCTAGACATGCAAATTTCAGGGAGATTGTATTCAGGTTTTATGTTCATAAACTCTGTAACGGCGGATAGCTGAGAGTATCCCTCACAATCAGCATACAGAGGTTGATCGGCAGCTTTTAAAACATCTTGAAATCTCTCAGCTAAACCTTCATCCACATAAGGTTGATAGAATATCGGATTTTCATCCGCATCTGGTTGATACGAGGTCGAGGCTTCAGGAGGATCGTTAAATGGTTGTGGGGGGTTGAACTGAGACATCGATGGACCGTATGGATCATATACCATTCTTTGGTCCCACTTCATTTGAGCACGGTCTTCCCACCCACTCATCTCATTAGGGACGTTACGAGACGAACCTACCGTTTGTGGTAAAAGAGATGGATCCAAAGATTCGCCATGTCAAGTCCAATTATAATAATTGGAAACGAAACCGTCCGCGTACAAATCCCACACAACCTCGTCTTGGTCTTGAAATTTAAGATTTTTACACTTTGAACATGGACATCTGATTCTATCACCACTCATATAATCCGGGTGTTCAAGTGCAAATGAAACAAACTCCCCAATTCCATCAAGAAAATTTGTTTTCATTCCGTACAATACCGCATGTTTATCATACATCCAATTTCTATTTTGCCTATACATTATGCCTGAATATTATAATAATAAAAATATTGGTTAAAAACTTTAAATTAGAAACATTACCAACATATGTAGGAGCATTACTAATATATTCGATGTCACTAAAGTTCACTACAATTAAATATTATTAATTACAATAACGTTCAATTAATATTATTAATTAACTAGAACGTTAATATAATGTCATTAATCATTTAAATTATTAACTAATAACCAATATTAGGATTTTAACACTAAATACACTACATTATTACGTTAATGAAATTAATTACAATAACATTCAATTGATATTATTAATTAACTAGAACGTTAATATAATGTCATTAATCATTTAAATTATTAACTAATAACCAATATTAGGATTTTAACACTAAATACACTAAATTATTACGTTAATGGAATTAATTCATAAAATTAACAATAATTTTTTATGTTTAGGAACATTTATATATTAAATGTAAATGTTTAAGAACATTTATATATTAAATTTCACTAAAATTCGCTAAAATTAACTAACGTCCAATTAATATTATTAAACTAGAAACAATATGTTAATGACATTAATTCACAATACTAAAATTATCAAAATCTTATTAATAATACACAATTAACAATTTAATAAATTAAATGAAATTCACATAATTCACAATAATAATTCACACTAAAGTAATGTTTCAATCCTAACTTAAACCATTATAAATCCTAAATTAGGCATTAACAATAATTGCTAATAAACAAATCCAATAATTTGAGCATATATAAACCCATTTGAATTAAATAATAATTAAATTTAACTAATATTACCAAAATTTTAACTAATTTACGTAATTTTAACTAAATACAACTTAATTAACACTATGTTTAAATTACACCTATGTTTAACTAATTTTAACTAATTTATTTCGTTAATTAATTAACAACCTTTTTTTAAACCCATTTGAATTAACTAATATTTAAATTTAACTAATATTATCAAAAATTTAACTAATTTAGCTAATTAATTTAACTTAATGCATCACTACGTTTAAACCTACGTTTAACTAACTAATTTTAACTAAATTATTTTATAAATCTAAAAATTTAACTAATTTTGTGACATCATTTATAGTTAAATATATTGTTATTTAATTAACAACCTCACTAATTTAATAATTTTATTTATTTAAAATGAACCAACTAATTCTTAATAAAAAAACATAATCTTAATGACATACCTTATCTACATAAACAGGGAAAATGACATAAGATAGATTACATCCTTCCATCTTTCAAACGGATACTGTATTATATACTGGGAATGAATTGATGTGATTCTATTGAATGAATCTGCTCATGCATATATATATATATATATATATATATAATAAAAATTAGTCACGGATTTAGTCATGGATTCGTCCGTGACTAATCTAATTCGTACAAATTACCAGTACAAATTAAATTCCGAGTGTTGAAAATTCAAAAATTTTTAGTCACGGACATAGTCACGGATTCGTCTGTGACTAATTTAATTCGTACAAATTACCATTACGAATTAAATTCTGAGCGTTGAAAATTTAATTTTTTTTAGTCACGGACGTCCTTATTTTTTTTAATCCGTGATGTTGAGTATGTGGTTTTGTTGATGTCTAACCATGTAGGTGGAACGACGAACAGAACCGTCCTTATTTCTACCTTATGGGAATGAGTGTCATACATGAATAATACGTGCTTGCATTATATTTGGTTGTTGACCATAGCATTTACGTATTGTATGCTTTGCTATATATCTCCTTCCATGAAAGTTATCCTTGATTAAATTATTAAGTGAATTGTTTGAATATGGATGGTTGCTTGCATGAACCGTTGCATGCTTATTATGGTAGGTATATGATTCCCATTAGAAAAGTAAATCTTGTTTGAAATATATTCCATATTTAATTAGGTGCATGCTTGATTGACTCATTCAAGTTATTGATACGAATAAGTAATTGGAAAGGTCTTTTCATTACTTTTCTATTAATGGACCATGACTTTTTTAATTTGATTTAAAAGGCTTCCTTATTAGAAATGATTTAGTTAGGCTTAGCATTGATATCTTTCGGAAGCTGTCAGAGGTGTTTTACCATACGATTTGAATTTGCCTTCCTTGATCGAATTTATTTGAGTGGGGTGGAAATATTTTGCATAACCCGTTGCACCTTTATGGTAGGAGAATAAAATTATTTCCTTACTCCTCTATGATAATTAATCTTTGTCTTATATGTCCATATGGATAGATTAGGATAGATTAGGCTTCCTATTTGACTTAAGCCTCAAGATGGAAGGATTTTTAAATTATAACAAAGCAAGAATCAGCATTGATTTTATTCAAGAGAAGAAGGCTCCAACGGATTCATTCTGAGGCTGCCTATATAATTGGTGTGCCTGGAGAGAAAAAGGTGAGCTTGACCGAGAAAATATCAAGAGAAACACTCAAGAGAAATACCAAGTCCAAGGCACCTGAAACTGCTCCCGGAGTTCTAGACAAAGTTCTTATTCCCTTCTTATATTGTTATTGGTTATTGATCGAGGACAAGCTAAGAGTAGCTTTCTCGGGTTGGGATCAAGTGTGTTGTGAGGGCTTTGCTGTAAAACCGAGAGGCTCTCTACCCGCAAGGTAGAGAAGCGAAACTCTTCCTAGAGAGAATAGAGTTGGGGAGGCTCAAGGGTAGATTAGGAGAATTACTCTTGTAATCTTTCAAAGGCTTGATTAGTGAAGTTGTTTAAAATTCCTCCGAGGGAGGTCGAGGTTTTTTAATCCCTTTTGAGCCAAGGGATTTTTCCTCGTTAAATCCTTTTGCACTTTACTATTTCGAAACTCCCATCTCCCCACACTAGAACTGGGCGAAAAACTGCCATAGTTTCACACACACACAATTCACCCCCCCCTCTTGTGTTACTAACCGTTTCATCACGTGACTAGTCCGTGATTAGTCCGTGACAAACTAGTCACAGACAAAATCCATGACTACAGCCCTGTTTTTTTCTAGTAATTGAGTATTGTGGCATCATTTTTATCATTCAAATTTTAAATGGGATCCCACTTAAAAAATGAATGATAAAGATAGTGCCACAATATCCCATATACTCTAGGCTAAAGGGTAGGGTACCACTTCTTCCAGGTAGTGGTACCCTCAATTCTTGTTCTGTATATATACCCAGAAAAGTACTCATTCATAGAGACGAAATCTGATCTCAACGGTTAGATTTAAGATGAAATAGTTACGGGCATGTTAAGTTTTGAGCATATATAATTACTTGTTAGAGCAAAAGTACTTTTATATCATAGGTAATACATATTGATGTTATTTCAACATGTGTGTATTGCTTGCAACTTGTTCTTCTAGGCATGTAATTTTTTTGGTTTGTAAACTTGTTTGCATGCTAATACTTTTAAAAGTTAGTTGCAGGTTCCTTTTCCGTTAACTTCACAACATATTTCTTTTAATTTTACAGCATGAAAGAGTCTTATTAGATTTTGTTATCTCTTATTTCTTTGTCCTAGAGCATAGTTGCATGTTCCTTTTTTCACGTATATATTTTTAAAGGGTAGATGGTGTATTTGCAATTATTTGGTTCCATAATATATAATATATATGTATGTGTGTGTATGTGTGTGCCTCAATATAGGCAAATATAGGTAATATTCAAAGCAATGATTGAGAACGTTCATCTGAACAAGTTAAATATTTTACCTCGCAAGCAAATGCGAAATGGACATCTATTCTATATGTACTTGGTATTTTCATAAACATATATTCATATCATTGTAATTTGAAGTGCATCCAAGATTGATGGTTACTTTTTAGCAACGATACTTTGGTGTTCTCACATAAACATTATTCATTATCGCTATATAATGTATCTTGATTTTATGTCTTTAGATATTGAAAAGCCATCAAGTGGGAAGCACTGGGCTCTCATGTTGAAGATCTAGGTGGAGTTTATAGCAGTTGGAGGATCTCAAATTAGTTTATTACAGATTTAGTTGACTTTGTAATGTTGGAATGTGTATGACGTTCGAATTGTAAATGATAATTCTTTTTTTAATAAAGAAGCGCTTTTTTTATTTTTCATGCATTGTCATTTATATATTTCAAGTAATAATCTTATATTTTGTGCCTGTATAGATATATGGGTATAAAATAAATTTATTAATCATTAACATTATGTGATATCAATGTATCATTAATTTAATTGATATTGATGTGTCAAAATATAAAGTGATACCAATGTATCATAAATTTAATTGATACTAATGTGTCAAAATATATAGTGACATTATTTTATCATAATTATTTATGATACATTAGTGTCATAAATTAGTGACACTTTACCAGTGACACTAAATTTAGTGTCACAATTCCCGACCTTCTTTGACACTTTTCTAGTGTCAGTAAAACTTTCTGTGACACTAATTTAGTGTCACTATAGATCGTTTTTCTAGTAGTGTAAGGGGCTAATTGAACACTTTAAGTCAGTTCAAGGGCCTATTTGACCCTTTAGCATATATTCTATAAGGGAGTCATATGGGACTCTAAATCTACTCCCTATTTATGACCGTGGAGAATGGATAGTAGTAAAAAAAGATATATAGAGTAAATAAATGAAGGGTTGTATTAAACAAAAAGAGGGTTGCCAATAAAATTGCCCTTTGGCATTAGGCTCGTGATATTTGATTAAGTGGACTAATTAGTTGGCCCATATGCTCCAAACAATTAATTGAGGTTGGCCCACAATCTTTTCATGATCCTATTGTGAGAGCCCCATACTCATAGAGTCATAGAAATGCAACACACCAAATGCTAAAGCCCAAAAGGTGGATCGATTGGAACTATATACCCAACCCAAACCAGTATGCATTTCTTTAAAGAGTTTTCTCCAATTTAAGCAAATAAATATGGGATTTGTGTTAACCCCACTCAAGAGGGTGGTGTTCGTGCCACCCTTACCTGCCTTCGTCGTAGCATGATAATTTTTTTTACAAAAAAAATATATCAAATTTAATACGTAGTAATTTTTATGATCTTTCACATGATACCAATATTTCATATATAATTAAAAAACATTTTTCTTTAATTATCTATTTTTAAAGAACGTGTGTGGTTATTATTATTTCGAGTTGATCAAGCCTTGATCTTTCAATTTTCTCTTCTTAACTGCTTCTAAATCTCTACTGTTCTTGTTATTGAAATCATATATTCATAGCCATGAGTTTGTTTTGATGTCTTGAAATTTTTGAATAAATTATTATACTTTTAGTACTTATTATAAGCATATAAAATATTAGGCTACTATAATTTCAATAGACATTGGCCTCGTTTGTTTTTCGGCGGATTCATATCTACATGCTGCATTTTGGAGCGTTTCTAGTTATAAGAAAAAGAGCATTCTGGGTAAAACACTGTTAACCAAACAAAGGCATTACTCCATATTATATATGCGATCGAGTCCAAGAATTTCTGTGGCTACAAATTTTGAGAATCTCAAGGAATATGAGTAACTTTAATACGGAGTAGAAGTAAATTAATTATCACTCTGAAAACATTCTAGTGAGTATTAAGTAGTGACTGTCATTTAGAGTTTCAAAATAACAACACTTTATGTACAGAGTATGTTAAAGAAAACGTGCACATTTTACTCATATTTAAAGCAACTTTTGCATAGGTTAGGAGCCTAGGATACTAGTTGAAAACAAGATTAAACAAATGCATAATGGTTATTTTTCTTATACCTATATACAGTGAGGCTCACAAATTAAACCAGACTATATTTATTCACTATGGAGTAATATTTATTTTGGTTTAATTTGTCATGCTATAGAAGTGGACTCTCTTCCAACATGTTTCAGCCCAATCTTAGTTGTCTTTGATGTTCCATGTGGTTTTACAATTTTGCCCCAACCATGCGATTCTTCTTCTTTAGCCTTGGATTCTTGGTAGTATCTAAATACCACGTACACCATGAATGCTGCATTTCAACATCCCTCACTTTGAATTAGTGATTATTATTTTTCATTTGGAGAATATATTATTTTATGTTAAAAAATTGAATTTCCTTTTCAGCGGTTAAAAAAATTGACATTTTACCTGCCCAAATTCTTGCCGCGAGTGAAGATAGATTCCACACAAGTGTGAAGATTCCAAACGCTACCGCCTTTTTATGAGTGCATGATTCCCATGCGTCACTACATCTTCCAATCCAAAATTTACCTGCAGGTAAGAAGATCCCACATGTAAACTTATACGGAGTAAGTTTCAGGTAAGGAATAATTGGACCAAGAAATGAGTGTGAAATAAAGAAAACGTGAATTAATAAGTTAATAACAAAAGGTGTTTCAAACAGCATTTTTTTTTGAAAGAGTGTTTCAAACAACATATATTATTGAATTAGTGAAGATTACGAGCCCGTTTGGAGAACTCTGTTTTCGGCTTATCAGGCTTATCAGCCAACTTTTTCACCAAACACGTAACTTTTACTTTCGCGCGCTGAATTGTGTAATAAGCCGAAAAAGTAAGGTTGGAGTTACTTTTCTGGCTGTATTGGCTGAAGTTACTGTAGAGGACCATTTTAGCTATTTTTACATATAATTTTTTCTTTAATTTATTAATAAAATATATTTTTAAAATATTTTTTTCTTAAATCAGCAGAATCAGCCAAAACAGCCACTCCAGCCAGAATATCATAAATTTCAGCGGAATCAGCCAAAACAGCCGATTTTGGTGCTACCAAACGGGCTCTACATATGTTCTTAACGGAAACCATCGTGCAAAATTTTTCAATGTAAGATGCTTTTCAAAAGATTTAAATTCTTCATTAAATTATATGGAGTTAAAGCACATAAATTGTATATCGCAGGGGATTTGATGCATCAAACTCATCTATGAGCATACAATTTTATTGAAAATTGAAGTATATATGGAACTTAAAAGAAAAATGTTTCATTATTTTAGCTTTTAGGTTTTGTTGTTGCCAGACATACAGTTTGTTTGGAGATAAATTTTGAGAAAATTCATTAAATAGGACTAAAACATAGTTTAGAGAGAACTCATTAAATAGACAAAAACGGTAATATAAAAAAAATAGAGTCGTGGGGATGAGTCAGTGACATATTTTACCATGTGCATTTAACTGCGCGGAGTAGGAAAAGCCGATTCTTGGTAGGATGAAAACTCCAAAAAACCCTGCATTTTTAATAATCATGCATGTATTATTCTCATTTCAAACACAGAGGCGTCATTTAAAGGTTTAATATGTTCTACAAAATGAGGTTCTAAAGGGTCTCCAAAATATAACTTCTATGCCTTTTAGATAGTCGATCATTCAAATGAAAGACTTTATATTGCCGCAAAGCTTACCAATATACGCAGGCTTCGAATTTATGCAAGTTGGATTCAGCCAATCAGAAAAGTAACTTCAATCTTACTTTTTCTACTTATTACACAATTCAGCGCGCGAAAATAAAAGTTATGTGTTTGGTGAAAAAGTTGGTTGATAAGCCTGATAAGCCGAAAATCAGTGATACCAAACGGCCTCTTAGTGCTCAAATTTGTGGCAAAAAGCACCACCTAAGTGGGCCCAAGTGTGAGGCGTCATTTAGACACCCAGGCCAGACCAAGAAGTGTGAAGAAACGGCCCAAAGAAATTTGAGCCCATAAATTTTACTATGCCACTCTGGCTGTCGAAATTTGAACTTTGAAGCATTGAACACAACGCGTAATATTTTGAAGTACCCCGGAGAATATAATTATGGTTTTCACCCCAAAGTATTAACAAATATGTTGAGAAAGTAAAATATTAAAGAACCATATTGTTTTCAATGTTTCATTCTATCTTAATAATATTAATTTTGATATAAAAATAATAAAGAAGTATTGAACACAAACGGTTTTTAAGTTTTTTATTTTCATTTTCCAAACCCAATATGTATTAAAAATAAATCTCAGAATATTTTTTCACCTTTCTAAATCTTAGGGGCACATAAGCACGAGATGTAAACATAAAGGGTATATTTGTACCTTTAAACTTGCTCAAACTTAATTATACAAATTGTGTGTGACTATTGTAAAAGAGCTCTTTATTATTATTATGATTATTATTATTATTATTATTTATTATTATTATTATTATTATTATTATTATTATTATTATTATTACTATTACTATTACTATTACTATTACTATTACTATTACTATTACTATTACTATTACTATTACTATTACTATTACTATTACTATTACTATTACTATTACTATTACTATTACTATTACTATTACTATTACTATTACTATTACTATTACTATTACTATTACTATTACTATTACTATTACTATTACTATTACTATTACTATTACTATTACTATTACTATTACTATTACTATTACTATTACTATTACTATTACTATTACTATTACTATTACTATTACTATTACTATTACTATTACTATTACTATTACTATTACTATTACTGTTACTATTACTATGAGTAATCTTCCGGTCAGGTATACCTGACCGGAGCCGCCGTCCGGCCTCCTCCTTTTGGGGGCCTTCCCGGTGGTATTTTTTGCTCAAATGTTTTGTGTATGTTCCTCATCAAGTCTAGTTCATCCATACCAAATTTCAGCAAAAAATTCAATCGGGAAGGTCGTCAAATGATTTTTGCAAGTTAACTGGTCCGGAAAATACATATTCCAGACCAGTTAACTTGCAAAAATCATTTGACGACCTTCCCGATTGAATTGTTTGCTAAAATTTGGTATGGATAAACTAGACTTGATGAGGAACATACACAAAAAATTTGAGCAAAAAATACCACCGGGAAGACCCCCAAAAGGAGGAGGCCGGACGGCGGTTCCTGTCAGGTATACCTGACAGGAACATTTGTGCTATTACTATTACTATTACTATTACTATTACTATTACTATTACTATTACTACTATTACTACTACTACTATTACTAGTACTACTATTACTACTATTACTACTATTATTACTACTATCATCATCATCATCGTCGTCATCTCCGTAATAAATAAATATTTGGAATAGTGTTCACTTCTTTAATAATTGGAGTAGGAATACCAAAATATAACAATGTTACCAATTACTTTGGCTACTTAACCCCTCGACAAACTGCTCAAATTACGCCATTTATTATGCGCCATCACATGTAAAAAGTCGTTAATGGGGTCAAACCATATTTATTTATAGCTAGATTATTGAATATAGTCGTATTCTTGTTTCTACACGTGAACAGGGTAGATGATACACCCAAAGAATTTGTCTTTGTTATTTTCGGTCCACAGCGTTACAGTGGTTACACCACAAGAAATTATTACGGTTGAATATTTAAAAATTCTCAAATTATGAACAAAATAAGAATAAATGTCCAAAATTATTAAAATATGATGAGTAAGAATTCATTATTTGACAAAAAAACATTTGTGTAAATACAACCTTATCAGTCTACTTTTTCACCAAACATGTAATTATGTATCTTACTCGCATAGTGCCCGTTTGGTAGCCATGATTTTTTGCTTTCAAGCTTATAAGTCAACTTTCTCACCAAACACGTAACTTTTTATTTTACGGGCTCAATTGTGTAATAAAAAGAAAAAGTAGGGTTAGAGTTACTTTTCTCGATGTATTGGCTGAAGTTACTGGAGAGACTCATTTTAGCTATATTTTCATATTTTTTTTTATTTTATTAATAAAATGTATTTTAAATTATTATTTTTCACAAATGAGCAGAATCAGTCAATACTGCCACATCAGCCAGAACTTCATAAATTTCGGCAGAATCAGCCAATACAACCGATTTGACTATTACCAAATGGGCACTTAATTATAAAATAATCAAAAGGAGTATGCGTGAATTTACTTTTATAATTGAATTGACTGAAGTTATATTATTTTAGTTATTTTTCATATTACGTGTAATTTTTCTTAATTTTATTAATAAAATATATTTAAATATAGTTTTTTAAAAACAGATTCAACCATAATATCATCAATTTTAATACATTCAGCCGAGTCAATTAATTTCATTATTATCGAACGGGTTATCATGAAAAACAGTCACTCCCGGGCAGCTATAGCCGCTGCCAAGTAGTAATACACAGATTTCATTCATCTATTAGAGTATCTCCAATGCTAAAACGTTAACGGTGTATACGTGACATAAAAAATAACCAATTAAAAAATAATAAATACAATATCTCTCTTCTTATTTAAAGGATCTTACATCATTTTGGTAAGTTTATCTTCACAATGTCAAGCACAATGTCTAGATGTAGACATTGTGATTAACATTGCAGACAAAAACTTACCATAAACACATAAGACCGTGGAAAGAATGAGAGAGATATTGTATTTATTGTTTTTTAATTGGTTATTTTTCATGCCACGTATGCACCGTTAACGCTTTAACATTGGAGATGCTCTTAGATGAGACCAAATAAAGTCAAGCTAGATCAGATCAGATTTTAACGGATCAATTTAAAAATGTTCATGTTAGAGTCTTACACCGGAAAAGTTTGAATCAATGAAATATTGTGCTATATAAGATTTTGGACTACTCCTCCTATCAGGTTGGCCTTTTAGGATAAAACCCCGGATCTTAATAGTTCAATCCACGAATAAAAAATGGAAAAAGTAAAGCAATTCCAAAAGCAATAACGTCACATAAAACATGATTTAATTTAGATCTACTCAACCGCCATGTCTGCTTTTCACGTTCGCGAATCCGGTCATTTTAAGTATTTAGGCTATGTTTGGCGGGCATAAGTCCCTTACTTCTAGCTTTTGTACTGTTCAAAAAGTTTCTAAAAGCTTCTAGTTGTGTGTTTGGCATGACAATATTTAAGAGCTTTTCAAAAATCAAAAGATCTTTTTTGAGATGCTACCGGGAGTAGCATCTAAGAAAAGCTGGTGACTTTTAGTATTAATTAATCCTAACAGCTTGTATACCAAACCGAACTAAATCAAACAGTCAGCTTTTTATCAAACAGGTACCACCTTTTCTTTTTAAGATCTTTTCAGTCACTAAAAGCTAACAGCTATTAAAAAGCTCACAAAAGTATCTTTTCAGCTAGTTGTGCCAAACATGCCCTTAAGCCGACTGATTTTGGGAGTAGTCAAATTTAAATGAATTTAAGACGGTTTGGTATTGCTGTTTTTCGGCTTATCTACATTACCAACCAACTTTTTATTAAATACGTAGTTTTTGGTTTTACACGTTGGATTGTGTAATAATAAGAAAAAGTAAGGTTGAAGTTACTTTTTGACTGTATTGGCTGGAGTTACTGTAGATGACCATTTTAGCTATTTTTACATATAATTTTTTCTTTATTTTATTAATAAAATATATTTTAAATATAATTTTTTTGATAAACCAGCATAATCAGTCAATGCAGTCACTTCAACCAGAACTTCATAAATTTTAGAAGAATCAGCCGATTTCAGTGTTAACAAACGGGCTCTAAGTACTCTTTTAGACTACGTATTTTATTTCAATTAAATGGTAGCCTGTCGGTATTTTGTTCGTATTCTTATATCTTAATTTTGCGATAACGGGCTTTGTTCAATATTTTCAATTCTCAATTAACCTTTCAAATATCTCTCATTTTCAATAAGATCATGACTTGTGTGGTGTATAAAGGGAAAATGGAAACTAATAATCCAACCTTTTAGCGGTATTCTTTTAATAGTCCCACATTTTCGTTATTCATGAATAATCCAACATTTGCACCTCATCTTCATTTACTGGTCCCCGACCGGCTGATGACTTGTTATTTCAAGTTATTTTCTTATCTTTGCAAAATATTATTTTTGTGAAAGGTGGAATTTATGGTATAATAGTTTGCAGAGATAAGAAAATAACTCGGAATAGCAGGTCATCAACCGGTCGGGGACCAATGAATGAAGATGAGGTGCAAAGGTTGGATTATTCATGAATAACGAAAAGGTTGAACTATTAAAAGAAGACCGCTAAAAGGTTGGATTATTAATTTCCATTTTCCCGTGTATAAATGGTATATAATCACAATATTAGTTGTTCTATGAAAGATTTCGAAGGTTTGAACATGTCACATTTGGACTACAAGAGGTAAACTAGATGCATATGTGTGCGTATGTGATGAGCTTGAAATTGAACAAAAACTTATTATGTCCTTTATATTTTTCTTTATATTGCTTCTCGTGACATTGATGCATCACAAAATAAAGGATTAAATAAATAATTTAACATCGTTTTATCGAAATAAAAATTACTCTGTCTACCTAATTTAAAGTTTCTCGACATTGAGTTCTGATCTCGTTGTTAACTCAGATATCTTATATGGAGTACTACGTAGTATCTACTTCTATATATTACATACATAGTATGAAAATTTGACTTAGTAATATATTACCTCCGCCCCGAAAAGATTTGTTAGTCAATTATTACAAACTTTGGACAATGATTTTTATAATTTATATATTTTTATAAAAATATTCCGAATAAGGAAACTTTTGATATAACTTTCATATTGAAATAATTTCGTATTAAAAATATCATCATTCAAAATTAATTGTCATTGATTAAGAAAAATCAATTTGGGAAAGAGGGAATCTAAATAATCCCATAAGAATTCCTAGAAATGGGACAGAAGGGGCTGTGATAGGAATAACCAATTTGGGGGCGTATGGTAATGGCATATTGGCATCCAAAGAAAATGAAATTAAAACATGAATGCAACGTAAATATTCAGATTACATATATGGAGTATCAAATTTTCCAAAAGAAACAGTTTTTTTTTATTACCTAATTTGGCCATCTTCCAGATGGTTATGGAGCTGCCACATTTTGCTAAAACAAAGAGCAGCACTGCCATCTACATTATGTAGAAAAAGGTCCCAATTAATTACTGAAGTTAATCTCAGATCTTTAGCTGGTAATTTAATTAGAAAGCAGGGAGCAGTGTTCTAAAAAACTTAAAAAAGCGCCGCCCAGGCGGGAGTAGGCGTGAGGCGCCACCCCAACGCCTCGCACAGGCACTATGCGCACCAAAAGGCGTTTTAACCTACTTCAACCTTCAATTTTAACTCCGCTGCAGCCAAACACTAACGAGACCAAAGAAGCTCTAGGCAACTATAAGTAACACGTAACAGATAGCTAAACTAATTTATAAAGCATCGGTAAGGAGGAGTTGCCTCTTCCACCGGTGTGGGACAAGTTAATGTCAAAGTACTGAAACAAAATTTCAACACGCATGAGAAAAGAGCCGTTCGTCTCTCCCTACGGTGTGGGATTAATTGACTTCGATTATAACTATGGCTCCATATGCCTACACGGCCATTTATTAATTTTTGTTAATTTGTTTTCTTTATAAAATTATTATTCTAAAATGCTAAAAAAGTGAACAACCGTTACTTATTATTATTCCTTCAGTCTAATTTTAGTTGTCCTACTTCCCTTTAGGTTGTCACAATATGAATGCCATATTTTCTTTTTTTGCAATAAATATGTGATTCTTATTATTTCACTTTATTCTACCCAATTCTTCACCATAACTTTTACTTTTCACTCATTTTATTAATAATCGTACCAAATTAAAATATACTAGTAACAACCAATATGGAATGGATGTAGTATTAATTTAATATCATCATCATCACTTTTGTAATCATCATGATTATTACTTTATCATACAACTATATTTTATCCAATTCTAGTTTTTGTATAACAACTAAATCTATATTTGTGAGATTTACAACTTAAGGGATCTATACTTTGCTGGAAATTAAAAAAGTAATATGTTCTTGTATGATACTACTTCTACTTATGTTCGAATAGAGTGGTGTGATTATTAAGAAAAGTAAAACTATGTAATTAGTAGTAAATTGTTAAAATGTGAATAAAATAACAATAAATTACAGGTGACGAATAGTATCAAATGTTGTATCAGACTAACTTAGTAGGACAAATAAGAAAAGTAAGATGAAACAATATAAAGGGATGAAGAAACATTGTTAAGTATTGCATTTAAATATTTAAAGTAACTCTAAAAATGTAAAATTAAATAATAAAAAATCAAAACGCCTTTTCACGCCTAGACTTCGCCTAAACTCGCCTAGGCTTCAAAGGCTTAAGGCTTGAGCATGCCGCCTCGGCCCGCCTTACGCCTTTTAGAACATTGGCAGGGAGTGGCAAATAAATTACTGCGTAGTAAATACAGGGATTATTTCACCTTGAATGTTGTTGCAGGGTCTCCTGAAAAGAGTGCTCTGATTTTCAAAAGAAACTCATTTACGTAAGGAAGTATCCGTTTCAGGGCCCATATTGCTTCCTCCTCTCCAACTACGTAATCTCTTTTCTCCCCCGCCGCAATCCCTTGGCTTCGTGGTCTCAAATATGCATTATGATTACATATAATGATAAATAAAGTGTACATGATTTGGAATTAATGATGGAAAAATCTATTAATATTACTATTGTTATCATTTTATTGATTTATGGGAAAACTATCAATTTGGTCCACGTACTATCACGAAAAAGTCGATTAGATCCCCGTACTTTTACAAAAATCAATCAAACCCCTGAACTTTTTAAAAACGTTTAATTGAGTCCCAGGTTATTTGCCACGTCAGCAGGTGACTCGTTGACGTGACACGCATGTGGTAGTCCAATCAGCAATGAATTTGCTGATGTTGCGCACATGTGGAAGTCCAGTCAACCATTTGTCGGTGACGTGGCGCACACGTGGCGGTCCACGAGTATGCCACATCAACGGGTGACCTGCTGACATGACAAGTTACCTACAAAAAAAACTTAATTGAACGTTTTTACAAAGTTCGGGTATTTGATTGATCTTTTTATAAAAACTAGAACCGAATTGACTTTTCCGTGATAGTAGGAGGACCAAATTATTGGTTTTTCAAAGATTTATATACCTCTGAGCAAGGGATCTGAAGAGGAAAACAACAGCAAGATAGAGGAGGCTGATATAGGAAACCACAGAGATGAAGCTGTGAAACCCAACAAAATAACCAGAATTAAATAGCAAGTTATAGACAGAAACATAAATTAAATAATGATTAAGATAGGCTCAAAACATCCAATGACCTGACTTTAAGTTCATGAGAGTATGATGAAGAGATGATAATAAATGTCCCAACTCCAAACATTAATGCTGTTCTTGATGCATCCCTCCACATCACCAAATCAACTGTCATGCGGTAAAAAAAAAAGCAAAATCAATCGGTAATAGTAAAAAAGAATATTAAACAAATTCTTTCGATACAAAAATAAAAGTTCATTGGAAAGTAAAATAAAACAAATCAAAAAATTACCCAGACTCTGTAATCTGCATTGGGGACTAGAAGTTGAATGTGAATTCTCTGAAAAGAAACAGAAAAGGGTGGAGCTGTTAGAACTGATGGAGAAAAAAATAGATTTCATTTCCAGGGCAATTAGTACCTCGTTTGGCTGTTGATGGAATTGAGGCAAATCTGGCACATCCATTTTCATAAAGGGGTGGATTATACTCCTTTTCTGTCACATTCTGTTTAGGCCTTTGTTCTTCTGAAACATTCATTTCTTTCATAACAAGAATACTGTTAATCTCAATCTTGTCCTCAGTTTCCTCTTCCACATTATCAGTTTCCACTTTAAGCGGTAATTTGACTAGAGCCAAGTCCTCATTGGTTGTGATGACTTTTTCTTCACAAGCATCAATTTCCTCAGATCTTGTTTCTCGAATCCCATTTGGCTTTATAATCTCATTTTCATCTCCTTCCAAAGCATTCCCTTCCTCAAAATTTGCATCTTTGACCTGAGCTAAGACCAACTGAAGTAGATTTGATGAATCCTTTTTTTCATTTCCTTCATCCTCACATTCCAGCTCAGGAACTACCTGTTTGCTTGATACTGCAGCAGATTCTGATCTCATTTTCCTCAGATGAACAGGGCTGATAATGTGATCCACATTAGACCCTTTGTTTTGGCTTTTCTGCACCACCATGGATCTTGTCTTGTTGATCTGGATTGGGCTTTTGGCACTCAAATCTTTGTAAAGTTGGGATCTTTTTCTAGAAATCTGAAGTGGGCTGCTCTCAGATTTCCAGATTTTCCTCTTGGTGCTCACTTCTTGAGAATTATCATCTTTGGGGGCATCATGATGAAGTTTTGTCCTGTGATCCCAAACAGAGCCTGCCGCCACCCCACCACCACCATTGCCGCCTCTCCTCCTCCCTACATCCATCATTAGTTGTTTCTTATTCCTCTTTACAGGTTTAGAATCAAAATTGGAAAATGATGATGAGTAGAGAGGAAGCTCACGGGTTGTTGTGTCTTTGGATTGAAGATTTACCTCAAGAAAATGACGGTGGTAGTAATGACAGGCATGTATAATGATGGAAAATGCCACATATATACATACATGCAGGCAAAGAGAGTGAGAGAGTGGTTGATAGGATGCATGAATGCAATAAGCAGTTAGTCCTTAAAAATAAACTAAGGTGTTGCAAATTTGCAATGTGGGATGAGGTTGATAAGATGTCAAAGACTCAAAGTGTCAATTAATTTTAGAGAAAATTATATGTTAAGTAACTAAAACTTCAATCATTTCTCAATATACAAGTCTATGAGTTATTTTCTACACTAATATGTGCGTGAGTATTTTCCACTGATCCTACATTATAGATGGAAGTGTTTTACTCTTCCTAAATAATCGAAAATGATATTGTCTCACGTCTATATCCTTTTAAGAGGAGAAAAAAGATCATTTGCGTCGACAAAAAGTCGACACAAAAGCCCAAATGTCGATGCAAATAGGTTTTTCGCGTCCACAAGTCGACACAAATATCATGACGCAAATAGTTTTTTTGCGTCCACATTGTCTGACACAAACCACATTGTCTGACACAAATAATGTTACTCCTGTTTCAATCTTCAGATTGGGCTTTTCAGTTTCAATTTGGAGCATTTTCGCACGCAAATAATGATACTCCTGTTTTACTCTCTCGGCCTATTTTTCAGCTTTTTCCATTTTAAAACTTTCTGGTGAAAATATTCTTAATGCAGGTAAATTTATTAGTTATCAGATCAAATATGCAAGTCAGTAAATTTATATAACAAAATTTATAATTTTTCTAAGCATAATTAGGAGTTAGTAAACTTACATTAAAGAATACACAGGGGTCTAGATGATAATACGTGAAATCTTGAGGGAGGTCAATGATAATATCCCTATAAGATATTCAAAAAAGCTAGGTGGTCCAGCCCTTTGAGGATATTTTGGATCAATCGCAAATAAAAAAAATACCCTTTTCAACTAATTGGTCCTATTTTGGAAAGAGGGTATATTTTAGTTCTATTAAGGTAAATACCTTTTTCCTTATACACGTTCACATTATCGGCACTCGTAATACTTATAATATAGAATTGCTCAATATAAGTTCAAAACATACACAAAATTCAAAAATAAGACAATATGTTTTGTTCACCTCATCCCATACAAGAACATTACGCGGTCGGATATGCATCACATTCAATGGTTACCAGAAGCCAATCCCGAAGGCCTCATGATGATTGAGATTATTATCTCTATCCAGTAAATACGGGTCTCGACTCGCCACACAAGCTCACCACAGCACTCAAACGATTCAAATCATACAACCTGAACGCAACTATCTACGGGCCCTACCTTCAAAGGCTATAAAATTTCATAATAAATACAAGAGGTCCATCTCAGCTTTTGTTGAGATACGCTAAAAAACTTTCAATTGCTAATGTTGTACTACGTAATTTTTATTTTCATTTACATTTTTTTTTTTGTACTATCGTACTTCTCTGTTATTCTTTGGTGTAACTCTCCTTAACATTTTTTAATAAAAGCGGAAAGTGTTCCCGACACTTTCCCCACCAAGTGTGGTTTGCCCCGGGAAAAAAATGTTTTGTTCATCAAATAAGATTTATTTAATCCTATTAAACGAATAACATGATTAAAACTTCTCAAAATAATAGTGAATGAGTCTTATTTTGAAAATGAAGCATTAACGATCCTATTTATCAAATTTATCCATATTTTAATCATATTTAGGGAATTTTCTGATTTGCAATTTATCAACTTACTTTAAAACATTTTCTCTCTAATTTTCTACACGATCAAATTAGGAAATTTGTCGCCAATTTAGAATACAAAATATTTTTCACAGAATCAATTCAAATCGATCAAGAATCAATTAAAAAATCCTTTAAAAAGCAATTCAATTCTAGTATGAGAATAATACGAGTAACATTCTGTGGACAAAAAATAATCAATTGACAAGACACGAGACGGTAGAAATGAGGCACTCGTTCTTAATTATTAGAACAAATACTGTTGTGGTCAACTTTATTTTTTTCAATTTTGACCTTAGTTTGTTAGAAAGTCAAATTCCATCACGTACTTCACTATTTGGCAATCTTTCCGTTGGTCTTTTTTTGTTTTTTTCTCTTCTCTACCTTTTGATTGTTTTCTTTATTTGCACAAAATCTCTCTATTCCCAAATCACATATAAATTGATCCGACAAATGCACCAATGCACCATTGATCCATCTGCCTACAAACAATTACGTATTTATTCTGTGAGCAGAACCGCTATTTTATGTATGATAAATCTGTTTGAAAAAAATCATAATTTGATGACACAAACAATCATAATCTTTGGAATAGACAGTTATTGTTTGTTTCGTATACCAAGACACTAATTTTGTTTTTGGCCCACTACACAAGGTGTAAAACTGTGTGGTGATTATCCACATTATAATGCAACTTTGTAACCACATTATCAGATTATCCACTTATAAGGAAACAGTTAAAGTATACTTCGTATAGTCCAGGGAAAAAACATTGTCAGTTGCGAAATGCAAAAACAAAGGTCTACCATAAATCAGTAGAAAAAACGGTTATATTTGTAGGCTTGTAGCACGTGAAAGGAAAACTACGGCGTCACATCCTCATCATCAAAACATGTACATTCTTTTTTCTCTCATTTTGCGTTTTTCATTTTTAATCAGTCTCATATCTATAGTAGGAATATGTTTTCCTATTTTCTAGACATCACCTTGTTCTTGGGAGAAATAGACTAAGAAAAGTTTCTTTGTAGACAATAACAATTCCCCGGAGAAATTACTCATTTAACAATAAAAAAAGAGTGAAATTAACTAACTTGAAAACATGTCCATCTTCATTGCACAATATTCAATCATACAATTTTCATTTTTATAAAGTTTGTCAAGCAGAAACCCATTTAATGTACCAATTATTAAACGCGTGAAGGATAACCCATAGGTTGTTCAGACTCCTTGGCTCACTTGCTTCCTTAACGAGTGAAGGCATTTATGCGTCTTGAGTTTCCTTTCTATATGAGCAAGTGGTTACAACATAATCTGTATAAGATATGGACCCAACACCAAGTACAAACACGGGATGAGATCCCAAATATTAAAGTGTGCTATCCCCAGCCTTTAATAACAGTCTTATATACTCGCTAGAAAGCCAGAAACAGAAATGAGGAAAATAGTGCAAATAATACACAAACAATATGTTATCTACGATGGAATAAACTTTCCTCAAAAGTAACATTCTTCTCTACTGTACACTATAGCCCAATATACTGATATAGGTTGGACAGGGACTGAACAACTTCTCTGATTGAGTAATTAACAAGCAAAGAATTAGTTCTTCTTTCTGTGTCAGACCTTACAAAAAATCCACTACGAAGTAATGGCATAACAGAGATCCAAACTGATATATACATCACAGAAGCCAGAACGGCACTCATTCTTTTATATATATATATACTCCATACTCTGTATATTTTCAAGTATTCCTGGATATTATTCTAAAGTTCTAACAAAGCAGTAATATATATACATGTACACTTACCCTACTTGGAATAAGTGCAACTCCAGCTTCCTGCCTGAAACAATAAAAAGCAATGATTCAAAACGAGCTTACATTTAAGAAGGGAGAAAAACGGTTGAATCACAGAATTTGAAGCTTTACCTATAATAAACTTAACCTGCAATTCATTCAATATCTACCAAACACCTCCTATCTCCCCAGCTTTCTAACAGGAAACTTACACTCGCTTTACCAAGAACAGCTTTGGATCTCTAATGGTTCTCAATCTAGGAGAGCCACTCACTTGTAACTCTCCGCCCCCCAAAAAAGATTCATGTTTATAATACTAATGAAATCAGTATTATAGATAGAAACTCTTTCTTGGGAAAGGGAGTTAATGTATGATTATTCCACTTTTAGGAAGAGAGTTATCAGAGAATATCTATGATCATTTTGATTGTTTAAAGCTCTTGGTGCTAAGTTGCATTATCATATTTGGAGCCTCTTTATCTGGACCACTCATCTTCAGTTTCTCTGCTGCTCCTTCCTTCTCTGCTTTCTTCCTCTCAGATTCCAGCTGCTTGCAATTTTCCTCATTCGCTTGATTGAACATTTTCACAAAGTTTAGTAGAGTCGAGATGACTGCAATAAAAGTTCAGAATGCATGTGAGGCAAGATTCATTACTAAAAAACTCCTTTGGGGTTGCTTACTCCCCAAATCTTGACCCTATACTATCACCTTGTTCTAAAAATCTTGCTCCTAACCCATACCAAAACTTCTTAATGATCCCTAATCCTAAACCCTTCCTGTCCGGGAACACTTCAACGCTACTTCTTCATTCTGTGTCAGTTTTTCCGTATTTGGTTCAGTTTTTGCAGTTTAATAGAACTTTTATCCTTCTTAAATGTTATTAAAAGAAAAATAACTTTATCGTTAATTATACCTCATAAACCTAACTAGTAATTTCACTCCTTTTATCCTTTTTAACTGTATGAATATATTCTTCATACAGTTAAAGTATTCTTCATTCATGTACCCCATAGGCACACACTAGTATTTATTCTCGCCCCTTCACTAATTTAGTACTTTTGTATTCAAAGGTTATCAATTAAATTTACACCGACGGTGCTAGTACTAAACCTGTCCCAGGCAGTAAGGCAATAAAACAATTGTTTATACCCACCTCAAATCGCATGAGGTAGGGTTTGGTAATCCGGTCCTGGATGCCCCATAACACTCAACCTTTGTTACCCTTACTATAAACTGTTATGACGGATTATCGCAAGATTCAAACATTGTGTTGGACTAGCTGATCAGGCCGCGAGACCCGTACTTACGCAAGTAGTGATGATCAGATTCAAGACATATCAACAAACCTCTACCTTCACTTGAATCCTCCATATAAATGCATCATGACAGGCTTTACATTTTTAGTATTCTCTGATCTTGCAATAATCCGTCATAACATGAACCCCAAAAGCCTTTCCACAAGTATAGGGAACTTCTTTTACTTGAAGGAATACCTTGCTCAAATGTGCAACGTGCAGGATCTTCTCCAAAGTAAAGAATTAATGCATCCACATTTCTTCCCTAT